AACGTATTTTTAATTTGTCATATACTCTTCATTGAATATTAAAATTTAGATAATTTTAGAACTTTTGATAATTTTAGTAAGCACTCAAAGAATTGAGACAACGACAGTGTATACCACAATGGCATGGTTCTTAGCTTGACACCGTTTTCCCTAAAGATTCATTTTTGAAAAAACGAAGAAAAAACATGAAACACGAAATCTTTGGAGAACAAAGAATATTTAGTGTAGAAACTTTAAATAAATATCAATGATTGAAATGACCACGCGCGAAGCCCATCCTAATATTATCTATTCTTTATCGTAAGTCTAAATTCTTATATCCTAACAGTTTTAATATTGAATGATCATTCGATGATTCTAAGATATTAAAAATGTTCTCTTAAAAATGGAACTGCGAGAATATATATATATAATATTGTGTTTTTATCTCAGCGTAATTATTAAACAATCAAAGAAGCTAAACGACTCACAGATCGTTGAAGTGGACAATAAGATTCGATTGCTTTGAACTTAATTATATTTGCTTCTCATTGCGATTGATTCTTCAACTTCCTATTAAAATATAACATTTTCCTTCGAAATATACTTGTTTATTAATCGAAAAATCTACGCGATCTCAATTAATATTCCACAATAAGCGTCAAATAAAATTATCAATTCAATTTTTTAAGAATTTTTAAATTTCATCAATTTTCTCAAATTTCAATCTATTATATTATATTACCTATTATATATTATATTATATTATATTATCTATTATATTGTATTATATTATATTATATTACCTATTATATTATATTATATTATATTATATTATCGATTCATCGAAATTGACAGAAAGTTTTTAAGATTTTTAACAAAAATCGCAATTTGCAGTCTGAAAAATTTCAAAATCCGTAACTTCGAAGGACATTGACGATAGTAGCAGTTCGCTGGATCGTGTCTCGATGATTCAATGTCTCGAATTACACAACTTAATCAACGACGCGATGACAGCGGCAACAGCGAGCACAAAGTACAACAAGTCGGTGCTGGTCAGACGGAGCGTCGAATATTACAGCGTGGCGTCGTCTCTACGCGAGCGTAATGGAACGCGGCTACATGGAAAGCTTATTTGGTAGTTCGGTGTTCACGGCGATTCATCGCTTGTGCACGCCTCGCTTCGGAATATTGCACGGCAGAAACACGCCGATTGGTGGCTGGGAATTAGTCAGAGGCCACACGTGGATAGCTCCGGCGCGCACACGTGCACGCTGGCTGTTACGATTTCGTCGGCGCCTGCTTTGCAACCGGAAACGTGCCGGCACTGTCATTGTTGAGATCAGTTCAGACGTTGGTTAATCGTGCTACGTGTTCTCGCGCAGATTAACGTAAGGTCCCGGTTCCCGTGGAAATATCGGCGGGAGCAGCAGAGATCGATCGATGCGTTTCAGTCATCTTAATACAGCTTAATACTGACACGATATGGTGAGAAATTGTAACTCTCTCTCTCTCTCTCTCTCTCTGTCATGTATATTCAGATCAATATTTATTATAATTTTGAGAGATATAAATTGCCAATTAATCAGTGGTCAAAGATAAAAATTCATATTCGAATTGTGTATAATTATGTATACTTTTACGAGAGGCTCATAAAATAGTGAATTTTTGTGAATTGATGATTATAATAAATTCAAGTAATTCCAAAGTAATTTGTCCTTCATGAATTTATTTATTTTTGATGTCGTATCTACAATTAGTATATCATGAATTTATTTATTTTCCATGCGTACCTACAATTAGTATACTGATTTTATGATAAAATTAGACACACAGATTATATTTTAGAATAATAAATGTTGAACTTTTTATATTTTAGAAGGAGTTGGACAATGGGTGAATATTAATTTTCCACTAAGAACGTTTGATGAAATATATTCATTTAATCCAAAAATATACACCTAAATAAAATAAAATTCATAGTTTTTTTTCTAAAATATCACGTCTATTTTTGTTAAATAGAATACCAAATAATTTGACAATTAAACTGAAAATAAAATCGAGATTCTGTAAATTTTTAATATTTCATAAAATACATTTATTTGGTCTAAATTTGTACAAAAATGAGATTTATAATATCTTTCCATTTTTAGTTGAATAAAATACGACAGATAGTAACAAAAATAATTTAACACGTGAAAATGAAAACGAGAGAGTCTTAAGTAATATATACCTATTATTTTGCCATCATTTACACTCAATTTTCATTAATTTAAATACGAAGAACGCGGTGCAATTATAAGATTGTTTATGGTTCCCAGAGTGGAAAATTATTTCACCTGCTTTTAGTACATCTATTTGATAAGGCCGCATACATATGTATATTCACGCGAAGGAACTGAACATAAATTTTCGAAAGTAGAGTCATCCGTTACAAGTCAGACGTACTTCCTCGCAAATAATAATCACTATCATCGCTCACACTCTACCATATGCGACACGATATAGTGCTCGTACTTTATCTAGCTCCTGTCAAATTTACACAATTCAACCAGCGAAATACGGCAACTGCGTAATGCAGTGCAATTCAATTACCACCGCGGTGAAATTTACAAACCGTGTCTGCTCTGAAAAGTAAATATAATGAAAAGAAACAAAGGCGCTCTCGAATTTCCTCGAATTTATTCAAAAACAAGTTTTCTGCTACTTGTTGTGCGAATGTTTCGAGAATTTCAAGAGTACTATATTTTGGAATTTCTATTAATTTTTAATAGCTTCCTTTAAGAGCAGTTTTGTTCAAATATTGTATTAAGAGAAAGTATGTTTAAAAACATTGTACGCTGATGTTGCCAGGAAATTTGACAAACAACTGGTTAATTAATTTGGCTAAAACTAAAGAATCAGAAATTTTCATAATTTATCTAACTCTTCATAATTCTAACTTCTGAAATTATTAATTTCAGTAATTCATGAATTCTAAATAACGATACTAAATAACGTTAAAATATATACCTCTGAAAATTAATCGTTCATCCGAGTAATAAAATGCTAATTTCCTTAGTGATCAGTAAAGAGCTAATTTTATTTTAATACAATAATTCTAAACAACAATTGTTGTAAGAGAAAATATGTTTGAAAACATTGTACGTTTATCTTGCCAGGAAATTTAACAAATCTTTGCTTAAAACGACTAAAGAATGAGAAATTTTCATAATTTATCTAAATCTTTATACATCTAACTTCTGATTTGATTAATTTCAATAATTCACGAAATCTACCAGTTAATCTTATAATTTCGATACACTGAATTCAATTCGCGCAACAATTCAGATACTAAGTAACGTTAAAATATATACCACTGAAAATTAATCATTTGTCCAAATAAAAATAATAATAAAATAAAAAAATAAATAATATTAATAAAAAAACACCAGTTTCCTTAGCGATCGATAAAGACCTAATTTTATTTTAATAGAATAATTATAAACAATCGTCACTTCCTTCCTCTCCTGAATACATTTCGGAGACCATTTTGTTTGCCGAGGAATCGTTAAAAACGCCTAATTGCAGGTGACCAAGGACACGCTACTGCGCCGTATTAAATCAATATTTCCCATAACTCGTTGGTTCGCGCTGTCGTGTCGCACGCGAAGAAAATCGATTCGCCATCGAGAGAAACTTTCGAGCCGAACTAAATCCCAGCGAGAATTCCCCGCTTCGAACCGCGGACAATAAAAAAAAAAAAGAAAAAAAAGAAAAAAAAAGGAAAGAATGAACCGCGCACGATGAAAAGGAACCGGATACCGGACCGCGTCGGAAAATTTGTTTTCCATTGGAACTGCGTTTAACGTTGCTGCTCTGTCGTGTCACGCGTTCGCAGAGCGATTAAATTAAAATCCAATTCGAAACAATGGGTGTCTCAATCGAAGCCACCGAAACAGGACGATCGTTGAAGAGACAAAGCGATCGAGTCGCTATTTTTTTTTTTTTTTTTTTTTTTCCATCCATATTCGGGACGGAAAAAACGACGATCGTTCGTTTAGCTCTCTAGAAACGTTGTTTCGACGATGACACTTGGAACGTTTCGGTCACGTCCCGGTTTTAATCATCCGACAGATTTTTTCCTCTTTCTTTCCTAGCCGATTTCGAAAGTTTGCTCTCAACCGTGTATAGATGCTCCATCGTCGGAAGCGATTGCAAAAGTCACTGTCGATACTGCGATCGGAAAAATTGACCAGCCTTTATGGCTCTCGGAATCTGTTTGGATTCGAGTGGTTCTTCTTGTTCGAAAAGTTCTAGTTATTTTTGATCGAAGGTAACTTTCGCTGGATCTTACTAACGGAAGCGCGACTACTTTGGATCACTTGGATTTTCCTAACGTATTTTTCATGTTCTTATATATATATTTGTTGGCTATGCTATTTTATTGTTGAACTTAATGATCTCTAATGATTTCAGTTTCATGCAACTCTTTCATTTCGTTTAATGTTTCATGATTTACCAGGTGTCAAGCTTATATTTTGTATTAGAAAAATATGTAATAAATTGAGATAGATGTAGATTTTTACGCATTTATGCGAAATTTGGAAGTGCACAAAATTGTACAAAATTCACGTAATATGAAAAAAAGTACAACGCTTCTCATAATATTTACCACAAAACAATTTTGACACTCTGATTTTTTAATTATATGACCTCTAGGTACATGAAAATATGAATTTTTGCAGTTTAATAATTAAAAAAAATGTTCTACAGCTACATATGAATTAACTGGAGAGTTATCTTATCACCTCGAGTTTCACGACCCCAACAGAAGCATAAGAATCTACGATCCAAATTACCAATCCAAAAAATATTTAATCGAAGTGTATTCCACAGAACACTTAGTCAAACGTTCCAAAAAATATTAAAAAATATTAATCCTAAAAAGGAGAAAAAAATATTAATAAATATTAAAATATTAATATTAAAAAATATTAATCCTAAAAAGGAATTTTAAGAAGGCTATAATAATTTTCCAGCAACCTGCCGACCAGTCGAACGGCAGAATCAATCAGAGGAAGGAACATCGTCGCCCGATAACTTGGAAAACCATCTCACCTCTCGAGCACGAACATTTTCGTCGATCGCCAATCTCGATTCGCGTTCAGATTGAATTTATCGACTTCCAGGATCAAGTCTTTCGTTCACCAATCCCAGTAGACTCCCCTGTAACTCGTCTGTTTTCCAAAAGAATTTCTCGCGTTCGAGTTGCCTCTATTTTCGACTTTCGACTGGTCGGGATTGTCGAGACGCCAACGTCGCCGTCGAGTCGACCATCTTTACAAGAACGCCTCGACGAGCTTTGCAAGCTCCTGGTATCTTTGACTTTCCGCCCTCGTGAAATTTTTCCTCTCTTCCCCGTTCGTTTTTAATTTCTTGTCTCGCTTTAATTTCCTCGTTTCATGGCCCTCTGTTACCTCGGTGTCTTGAATGACGATTGCCGGGGTTCCTGAAACGATCCCGGCCCGCGACTCGAGCACCCCTTTCATCAGTTTCGTTCGTTTTCCTTTGCCACCTGCCCTTCAATTTCGCTTCTGTTGCCAGCCATTCGTACACTGTTGACACTTTGTCGCGCAAACGTGGATGCAGGGTTGTTGGGGATGATTTTTCTCCTTCATGTTATTTACAAATTGTCATTAAACACGCAGTCGTATTGAATTCACCACTGTGTTTGATGGGTCATTCTGAATGAAAAAACAATCGTACGCACCGGTTTTGATTTACTTGTTTCTTTATTTATTTCAAGAAATTGACCTCACGTTCATATGATTATAATTTTTTTTTATTTTTCATGTGTTATATACATATATATTTTTTATTATATTTATATATCGGGCGATGAAATTTCTCTTTTTTATCTTACGAGAAATTTGAAAGTGTGCAAAAGTATACAAAATACACGAAATTTAGTATCTATGAATTCCATAGATACTAGGATCTAACCTAATCTAACCTTTTCCTTTTATTTTTCTTTCCGAATGTGTGCATTTCGTACGTGCAAAATATTTATATATATATTTTTTTTAACGGGTGTAAAGATTAGAGTATTAAATAATGGTTATCAATCTTGGAGATTACGATACAATTGTCGATCATCTTGAACTAAACAGTTCTTAAAAGACTAAAAGATTAAGTAAGGGTTACATAAATTTAGGTTGGGTTAGGCAAATTCTAGGTTAGGTACTAATAAAAAGAATTTCTGTTTAGATTGAATTTATTTCATTGTTTTTAAAAAAATATGAATTTGTATAAATGTCCACAGTTAAATCTTGGCATTGCTTGCTCTAGTACAAAGTTCTATTTTTACAGCATAGCAAAATTGCTTCTTATTACAATAATATTAATAGCATTGTAAAATGGAAATGAATCGCTTAATAAATAATAAGTAATAAGTAATAAATTTAAATTAAACTTATTTACAATAAGTAATAAATTTCGTTTTATCGCCGATAAAACAAAAATCAAACGTTAACAAGTTTTAACAAGTTAAGAAGTTTATAGTTAACAAGTTTATAGCATTTAAGTCATTTAAGAAAAAAGAACAACTCTTTATCGAATTACAGAGTTTGCAAACATTAATAAACTGCGAATCTTTCAGTTTTATATTTCTATGAACAAAATTAAAGAAATGGAATCTAAATATACTACTTCCCCTAATTAAATATTGTAAAATACAGCTTGCTTTCTATACGCTATTTATCTTCGCACAATGTATACATCTTCTGCACTTTTTGCAATTTTAAATTTCCCATTGAAAGACGCTGTTCCATTTTCTGTAATTCATTCAGTTAACGTCTTTTCATCTTTTTCAACAAAGAAGCCATATTTACATCACAAAGAGATGTATGTATATGTATATACCAAATAGGTTAAACCAAGAATTAATATTCCGGATTAAGACAATAAATAGAAATGCTAAACTTGGACGATTTTACACTGAGAACCACCTAACGCGATGAAAATTTACTTACAGCGAGGTAATTATTATAATTGGAAACTTCCGGAAGGCGGATAGAGAATATTGCCACGTCGCCACGTCGGTGACTACTTTTAAAATCACGAATAATTTCAAAATCACGAGCCACAATGTCAATTGACAATTAAACAAAAAACCAACGAACGTCGAGCACGTCTCAATTTATCAAAAACGTTTTTCTTTCTTCTTCTTTTTTTTCCTTTTCTCGTCAGGACGTGGAAATATCATCGAAACGAATTCCAACGGGAATAAAGAAGAATACGGCTGTAGGAGAGAACAGCAAGGTTTCCTATTGCAGAGGTATTGAAAGCGTAGCCTTGAAATGGTTTCCCCTATGGGCCATTTTTGTCGGCCATTGCCCACTGAAGGGAGCACCTTTTATTACTCCTATTTCCTCTGTCTGATTTTCCTTCCAATTTTCTTCGCGAAATTCTGCCGGATTAACGACTCGTGGGCGACTCCATTTTTCATCGATGTTTCCTCATCGACGTAAATCTGTTTTCACAATGGGAGGAAAAATAGTTAGAGAGATTCTCTGTAGATATCTTCTCCGTGGATATATATATATATATGTATGTACGACATAATTACGAAATTAGTCTCCATTTTATAAATCTAAAATATCGAATATTTCTGTACTATAGCTATTTTCGTGGCAATGATACAGTTCTGTTTTCTTTTTTTTTTTTGTTTAATTCGTTTTATTATTCCGTATTTCTGCCTCATCACAGTCTTTGTGAGATACACTATTTTACTAAAATAAATGAGCTTATTTATAAAATAAGAATATTTCTTAAAATTGATTTCTAGAATGTTGTGGAGCAACTGAATGTTCAAGAACTTAGAGTGACCGAATTTATATTATTATAGAATGATTCATTGTCTAAGAATAATCAGCAAAGAAATTAAAAATCTCGTAGAATTTTCACAATATCCCATATTTAATCTGTGGAAATTTAACTCAAGTCCAAATAATAAATGTAACATGTACATTTATAGAAACATAATTTATACTCGCATGTAATTCACTCGATGCCTTTTGTAACCACAATTTTTTAAAAAAAAGAAAATTCAACGAGCCTCAGTCCAACCTTACAATCAGTCTTTGGAGATCTAATTTTTCTAAAAGTGAGGATGGAAGAATTGGAGAAAGGCGGGGCACGATTCAAATGTTCGTCGTCACCAGAGTCTGAATAAACAGAAATAGGATCTGAAGTAGGGTGATGAAAGTTTCGAATAAAACTGTGCCCCTCGATCAAATTTGTATCTAATATGCACTTTATTGTTGGCCAAGTAGTCAGCTAATAGAAGTAAACAAGAATGCTATCGCTCATTCCTTCTATCGTTTTGTCGTCTCATCTTTCGAGTATCTTAGCCATCAAACGCGATCAAACGCGCGTATACTTGATTTCTCCTTTTATCGTCGATTATACTCTATATACAAAATCACTGTTTCACGCAGCTTCTACCAGTTTTTCTAGTTAAAACTGCGTGCGATAATAATATAAACGTCATACTTCATCACTATCATTATTTTTTATCCGGCCGTGTGTGCGCGTTAAGTCGTCGACAGATGAAAGTATCTTCCTCGCCGTAGACAGCTCGTTTGACAATTAATCAATCGATCAATCGGTAGACAACTCGCCAAATCGATCGTACAGTGTTAAAAGACGGTGGGTAATATTCTCTATTCTCGTTACAAGCAACTGACTTTTCTAAAAAGCATAGCTCAAAACACACACGAGTGAAAAGTAAGCTTCCCCCATTCATTCTCTCTTTCTTTAATTCTTGCTGCGACCCATTTATCTTTGTTCGTGTGTGATTGTACAGCTAGAGGTGCATCGGTTATATCGTGCAATAAAACTGTGTCTGATAAACAGCTGGAACAATCGGGGGAATTTTTGTGAAACAGAGCGTGAATATTTATCCATTTACAGGCGAAGAAACGTATTAACGTAAAAAAAGTGTATTTCGTTCGTAGTTTCGCGAATGTGTCAGTATTCTGCCTTGAATATTTTATGTGTATATTATACATTTTATTTTATTTTGTCATTAAACAAATGTAAAATGATATATTATATGTTTTTTTAATCTTGCAAATTTCCAAACGAATGCATAGATATCCAGTCTGATTATCGATAGTACGTGGACACTATTCACAGAAAAGATTCTAGACATTAGGTCGATGAAAAATGTGTCGTGTACACTAATGTCAATTGATACGTTGATATACATCACTGAATGTTACCGTTCGACTAAATTTACACTCGTGTAACGTGAGTTGCCTGCGTACAGGCGTTATCAGCAGGAAACTAAAGTGTTTGCAACTTGAAACACATTTTTTACTGTTTGATCTCTGGAATCGACTCTGTAAAAAGCATCTACAAAGGCATTTCGTGGAGGGAACGCATAGTTTTCTCCAGACATTGGCGATCATTTTGATCTGTGTAAATTTTATTATTCGCTCAGTTTGTTTTCTGTGAAAAGAAAAACATAACAAAATAATTGCGATTAAAATAATTAAAATGATTCATCGCCAATTTGAAGATTAATACAAGAAAATCACTTTATCTCGAGTTGTCACTCTTTACTTCCTTATATTCCCTTTCGATAGGTTACATTTGTCATTCACTTTGGCTCACGATCTTACGACTATCTTTTGCGAAAATTTGAAATTTGCGAAATGCCACGAGAAGGTAAGAACTTCCATTCATAATTACTCTTTCGTTGCAAACACTTACGAAGCAACGTTTATTGCACAATGTAACCGAGAGCTCGACAGCTGGTTTCACTTCTCGCCACGATCACTTGTACATGCACACGTTTCGCACTTTTCTTCGATCCCATTCTCTCGTTTCTCCCTCCCGCAAATATACTCCTATACGTGTCAATAATTTTCGCCGCGTTCAACCGCTCTACAATCGGGAGGCAAGCGTATATCCTCGAGAGATATTCTAAACCGATATTCAACCTATTCGGACGCGATCGTCGAACGGTCACGGATGGTTTCTTATCGATCGATTTGATTTTACCGCGCCGGTATTGCCTTGCCACCG